TTTGACCTTAAAAGTTGGCTTATGGGCCGAAATGTAAAACATAAACATAAAATGATAAAACTTTTAGAAAATAGAGGGGAGAACATCTTCAGGATTAGGTGAAGAAATTTTAGATTTTACACCAAAATCATGATCCATTAAAGGAAAACTTGATAAATTGGACCTCATTAAATGTAAAACTTCTGCAAAAGACACTGTTGAGAGCATACAAAGATCAATTATACACTGGGAGAAAATATTTGCAAATCACATATGTGATAGAGGACTTGTATCTAGAATATATAAAGAAGTCTCAAAACTCAACAGTAGGAAACAAATAATCCAATTCCATCCAATTAGAAAATGCACAAAGACATAAACAAAGGTTTCACAGAGGAGTATATACAGAGAGCAAATATACACGTGAAAAGATGTCAACCATTTTACCCACTAGGGAAGTGCAAATTAAAACCTCAATGAGGTATTACTATACACATACCAGAATGGCTAAAATTTAAAATAGTGATAACACCAAATGCCGGCCAGGATGCAGAGAAACTGGATCACACATGCACTGCTGATGGGAATGTACAATGGTACAGCTACTTTGGATAGTAATTTGCTGAATCATAAAATTAAATATATAATTATCATATAACCCAGCAGTTGCACTCTCGGGCATTTATCCCACAGAAATTAAAACTTATGCTCAAAAACCTGTATAAATATGTCCAAAAAGCTTCATTAATAATAGCCCCAAACTGGCAAGAACCCAAATATCCTTTAGCAGGTGAATGGTTAAACTGTGGTATGACCATACAATGAACCACTACTCAGCAATAAAAAGCAATAAACTACTGATACATACAACTTGGTTGGATCTCAAGGAAATTATACTCATCGAAAAAAGCCAACCTCAAACATTACATATTGTATGATTCCATTTATACAACATTCTTGAAATAATGGAATTATAGAGGTGAAGAACAGATAAGTGGTTGTCAGATAAGGGTTAGGGATGGGGTGTGGATGTGGCTGTAAAGAGATAGTAAGACAGAGCTTCATGGTGACAGTTCTAGATCTTGATTGTGGTGGGGTTACATGAATTTATACATGTATTAAAGTTGCACAGAGTTACACATACGCACAAAGACATTCATGTAGCACTGGGTGAAATCTGAATAAACTCTGTGGATTGTACCAACACCACTTTTCTGGTTTTGATATCACACTATAGTTATACAAAATGTTATCAAAGGAAGAAACAGAGAAAAGCATACATGCTTCTATACATTTTTTATAACTTCTTGTGAATTTATAGTTATTGCAAAAGAAATCATAAACAAAAAGTTGAACAGTCAGGCCTAAGACCTTAACTCTATGGCACTCCACTAGATGCCTCATTCTAGGAAGAAAAATGACATAATCAACACTATTTGAACAAAGTTATTTCTACCAGCTGAAATTAACTTAATCGTATGATTAAGTCTGCATTTCACCATCTCAACAACCCCCCCCAAAAAAATCAAGGAGGACTTTAATTGCTTTTCTAAAATTAAGATAGATTATGTTCACAGCCTTCCTCCAACCTACAAGTCTGAAGACTCTACCAGTGAGATTACTGGCAAGACCAGTCCTTGATGAAGCCGTGTTGGGTCCTGGTGATGACTCTTTCTCTAAATGCTCATAAGCTACCTTTAGTCAAGTTTTCAGATCTCTCCATTTCCCCTTACCTTTTGGTTGGTCCTAACTTCCTTTCATTCTTTCATTTATTCATTCATTCATTCATCACACATTTAGTAAATGTTCATCTTACATGCTTTGCTGCTCCTGCATGGGGTCCTCTGCCTTTCTTCTATCCCTTGGCTCCAACTTGCTCTCCACCTTTCAGTGAAAACAGAGGATGGAGCAACTAATTCAGCCTAGAGGGATGAAGCATCTTCCCAATGGGGGCATTTAAGTTGGTTTACCAGGATTTTTTTCTCCCTCCTCCAGAAAACTGAGTGGAAAAGCTTTCTTGATCAAGGCAGCAATTCTTCTGCCAAACAAATTCTTCTCACTCTTTGGAAGGATCCACTTTGTTATGTTTGGCTAAGATCCAAGAAATGTAATCTACTTCTCTAAGCCAACAACAAAAGCCAACTCTTCCTTTCCTGAGTCCCTTTCCTCCAAAATCAACTGAAAAGAAAAAATAAATAAAAACTCTTATCTATGCTCTAAAGCCCTCTATTTTCTATTCAAAACTCCAACGGCAGAGATAAAATTCCAACTTCTTCTTACAGTCATGGAATTTTGTATCAGAAATGAATGGCAGAGGCCAGCCTCCTCATTATAGAGAAGAAGAAACAGCCTTGGAGTAGTGCAGCATGCCAGGAGTCGGGCAGCCTAGAGAACACAGACTCTCCCAGCCAGTGCCCCCTCCACTCTGCCATGTTTACTAAATCTTTTCTTACCAGTACTTCTTGATATCACACCTTAGGATAGCTGCTCATGGAGGAGGGCTGATACCCTGATGGACTATATCAGATTCTCCACTACTCTCTTGTGTTCCTAAGAAACAGGATAGGCTTCTTGAAGGTAACATCTGAGCTGCTTTCTGCTTCTCTCTCCCTCTTTAAATGCTCATCAGGGGCTGAGTCTCAAGAAGTCAACATTTACAAAGTTCCCACTGCCTAACTGAGGGAATCAAAAGGGAAGCCCACCAACGTTCTAAGCTCTAGATAAGATCAGGGAACTCCTCCCCACATTCTCTTCCACACTGCCTTTGGCAGGGAACTGTTCATGCTTCTGGCAAGAGCCCAATCTACCAACTCTCCAACCCTCCCAGTCCACACCACTATCTTCCTTGAGACCATCAAGACCAACCTCAGCATACGTTTAATCCGTTTTGTGTCACCACAAGAAGCCCAGAGCTCCTTTGCCCCCCATATAGCTCTATGAGCAGTGAGCAACCATGTCCCCCCAATACACACACACACACACACACAAAATCCCATCAATCTTCTTGCCCTATTTTTTTACTTAGCATTTTTTGGTCATCTGACAAATCATATGCTTTATTTGCTTTTCCATCCTCCTCTCCTGGAATAAAAGCTCTATAAAGCCAAGGATTTTTTTTTAAGATTTTATTTATTTATTTGACAGAGAGAGAGAAAGTAAGAGAGGGAACATAAGCAGGGGGAGTGGGAGAGGGAGAGGCAGGCTTCCCGCTGAGCAGGGAGCCCGATGCGGGGCTCGATCCCAGGACCCTGGGATCATGACCTGAGCCGAAGGCAGACGCTTAACAACTGAGCCACCCAGGCGCCCCAAAGCCAAGAAATTTTATAGTTTTATTCACTGCTCTACCCCGAGTGCTGGCACTTTGTAGGAGCTCAAATTTGTTTAACAAATAAATCCCTATGACCATTTTTAAAAGTCTGAAACAGACAATATAAGGACCAAAGTTTGTCTGAGAAGTTTGAGAGAAAAACAGAGATCATTTGTGACAATCAGAAAACATGAAGAGAGGAAGGCTTGAGCTCAGGCTAGACCCTGGGTGCTGTCTTCCTTTCTTCTCTTTTTTCAGCTCTACTGAAGTATGAATAACAAATAAAATCATATGTATCTAAAGCATACAACATGATTTGATGTATCTATACGTTGTGAAATGTTTGCCACAATCAAGCTAATTAACATAACCATCACTCACATAGTTATCCTGTGTGTTTGCGCGACTCTCTTAGCAAATTTCAAACAGACAATGCAGCATTATTAACTATAGTCCCCACACTACACATTACATCCTCAGAAGCTATTCATCTTATAACTGAAAGTTTGTAACCTTTGACCAATGTCTCATTTCCCCAATATCCCAGTTCCTGGAAACCACCATTCTATTCTCTGCTTCCATGAGTCTAACTTCCTTGTCTTTTTTTTTTTTTTTAATCCCATATATAAGTGATACCATGCAATATTTGTCTTTTTCTGGCTGGCTTATTTCATCTGGCATAATGCCCTCCACATTTATCCACATTGTCATAAAAAAATGACAGAATTTCCTTCTTTTGTATGGCTGAATAATATTCTATTATATGTACACAAACACACCACATGAGATAAACTAGAACTCATTAGAAAGTACTTTTAATGATTACATTATTTTTTTCCCAAATCAATACAGCTTTTACTGCATCTTTAAAATACCACAAATAGGGGAGTCTACTTCTCCCTCCCCTGCTGTTGCACACTCTCTCTCTCTCCCTCTCGAATAAATAAAATCTTTAAAAAAATAAAATATCACAAATAAATCTAAAAAAACATCCGGCATCTTGTTGTTTCTGTAGCTGGACAACTTAGATCTCATTCATCAGCCTGCTGAACTGTTCCTTCTTGAGAAACATAGATACCATCCAAAAATTTCCTGATGCCCTTGTGTTTAACCATGGTGGCTTGTCTGAATCAAAGCAGCAGAGTTGAGACAAGTTCAATGCCATCCTCTTCAAGAATTAACTCACCTTTCTGGACTTGAGCTACTGAACAAGGAACAACTGGCCTCATCCAAACCCTGTGGATAGAGTTTTCACCCAAGGAATTTCAGATTTCAACAAGAGAACCGTTCTCCTGAATAACAACGTTGATGGGGAAGTGAGCGTACACAGACCTAATCTTGTAATGGAAGCCCAGTGGAACGCCCTTGATCATGTTCTCTACATGGCTACAGACCGTGCAAACAGTAGCCAGTTCTTTTCTTGTTCCCCACCATTTGTCAACTCAGAGCCTCTTCTTTTTCTTTCCAAAGAGACTGAATTCTACATTGATGTGATTGCAGTCCCTTCACAGTGTTCCTCTGGGGCTCTTTACAATAACAGTGCGTCCCTTCAGAGTGATGGCGACATTTTCTGGAATGTCGACGGTCTGATTGCTGAGAATGGTCTTCGTTCCCTCAGTAGATATGGCAAAAGTGATTAATTATTAACTAAAGAAAAAGTACAGTGCAAAGGGTTTGGGGGCACCTGGCTGGCTCAGTCAGTAGAGCATGCAACTCTTGATCCTCAGGTCACGAGTCAAGTCCTATGTTGGGTGTAGAGCCTTCTTAAATATATATATATAAATACTACTGCCTAACTCTAAAGCTCTTTACTACTATGCTATACCACATTTAACACTAGTTAAGGGCTCATTTCCTGCCAGCAAAGGGATTGGTAAGGAGATAATTAGAATATAACCTACTGGTATATTTTGTAAAGTTTCCCTGAGTAGAATTTGATTAATCATTTCCAAACCTTAGGAGAACAAACAAAAGAAACTTTTAAATAAAAGCAAGGGAGAGATGGTTTTGTAACACAGTTGCATGAGGATAATGAAACACTTGGATGAATTTTTACTGGGGTCGTGATTCCCCAGAGAAACCTTCAAGGAAAGAATTTACCACGTTCATCATGGATGGTTCTTTGTGCCATCGTGGAGAGCTTTTGATCCAGATCAGAGGGCACCTGGCTGCTCCCACCAATGCGGGAATCAAGGAGGAAGAATGCCCCCATCCTCTGCATTGGACCCACTTGACATCAGCTGTTCAGAGCTGCGGTGCTTGCAGAATTAAGGTCACACTGAATGAGCGTGATTATTGTTCATCATTAAATGGTAAGTATGTCTGTGGAATGACATTGATTAAAAGTATTTTGGGCTTTTAACATGTTAACTGGATGAAATCATCACGCCCGAGAAACCTAAAATCCACTACAGACCTTACATCTAGTAGGAGAAGTGGGCAAAGAAAGCTTAAAACTAGGAGATTTGTAAGAAAGATGCTTCTTAAAGATAAACCCATTGAGGAAGACAGAATTCTGCTTCTAGCTGTAAACACCAGTGTGGCTGATACCAGTTCTTTTCCCACCTGCCCAGTAGGTGTCAGTGTAAGACAATGTTCCTACAACTGACCAGCTTCAGAGCACAGAGTATCAAGTTATAAAACAGAGGAGACATAAGAAAGATGAGGCTACCAAAATTTCACACGAGCCTTTAAATATCATCATCTAAAGAGAGCTGACCTACACAAAGTTTCCTCATGACTAAGGTGACAGAGTTGGACCACATGGCCTCAGAAGACCGCAACTAGCTCTTGTAGTCCTCATTCACTCTGCAGGAATTCCAGAGCATCTCGCAGGGCTAGACAGGACTCGGCACTGTTGTAAGAGTCAGTCACCGCAAACTAGCAGAGTAACCAATGAACACCTGTTTGAAAAACAGGTATGATTCCCCACTTCCCAGAGACAATATTAACATAGAAATCCTGTCATCCACAGGAATATATCATTATAAGGCTTACAAAAGTGGAAAAGAGAGGGGAGTCAAAGTTTCTATGTGAGTGTTGTGGAATGTGTTGAGTCAGTCAGGGTGAGCTTCCTGGAGGAATGGCCTTTGAACTGTGATGGAAGAGAGGCGCTAAACCAGAGCTGCACTCTAGCCCCACCTTTCTGCTCTGCGTTTAGTTTTCCTCCTCCTAATACAACCACCCTATACTCTGATAAAGAGTAACCAATAAAGAGAAAGAAAATAAACATGAATTATTTTTTAAATTCACTATGTAAAGGTACTGTTGATATGTTAAAGGGAAAATGGTAGGAGGAGGGTGATATCTATTGAGTACCTAATACATGTGTCATACAATCCTTACTAAATTCCTGAATGTAAGTGGTATTATTCTCATTTTTAGGTAAAGGATCTAAGACTCACAGGAGTTCTATAACTCTCCCAAGATTATGATATAGTATTTACGAGTGATTACTCTGCACCAGTATTAAACTAAGTGCACTACAACAATCCAATGAAGAAATGACTTATTATTCCCATTTTTCAGAGATGGAAATTAAGTCTAACAGAAAATAAATTATTGCTTCCTCAAGATCACAGGACTCCTAATTAGTTGAAATTCAAATTCACGTGTTGCAAGTTGGGTTCTTTGGGAAGCAGACTCATCACGGACTAAGGTTGTGGCTGTCTATTAGGGAATAACTTTAGGATTAGCACCTGTGGAAGGAAGGGACAGGAAGCAGGTTTGGGAGATGCATCTGAGTCGTCCAGCACTGGCTCAAATAGCCAAGCATGTATATACGTGCCTCAGTCAGTCGTTGGATGTAGACACGGCCCTGGAGGAGACCCCAAAGGGCTGATGGCTGACACCTGCCTTCTGACAACACTCCCAGGGCTGGGACCTCAAGTCCTTCCTGGGAGGGACCTCTGGGCAGCATATCTCCATGCCCTCTGCACCGTGTCCGTATGGTACTCCCAGCTCATGTTTTCCTGCTATACCATGAGGGTGGGGGCCAGAAAGGAAGCAGCGTTGTCGTGGTGAGGTTGCAGAGGGGTGAGCCCGGGCCCCAGGCGTCATGGGGAGATAAGCACCAAGCCCTCATCCCTTATAACCCTCAAATAGCATCAGCTAGAAATCAAGAAAGGGGTGGAGTGAGGGAGCATGGAGTCAACAGCAGGATCAGTCATTAAATGCTTGTTTTTCGGTTGACTGACAACTTCCAGGTGGTCTAGTAAGGGAGGCACCAAGCCCCGTGCAGACCCAACAGTTGGTCGGGCCACTTATGCTATTTAGTAACATCTGATCTCCTGCTGCACGCCGCTCACTCACCCCAAGGGCCACCCAAGACGGCAAACCCACCTGGTGCGCCACGTGCTGGCCTGACCTAGGTAAGAGGAGCACAGAGGGCGCTGTGTTCCACGTGAAACAGAGTCAGCTCCTGGGATTGCAAGTGCTCAGAACGGCAACCTTCCAGCCCGAGCAGCAACCCATTCTCATCCTTCTGCTTGAATTCGGAGAACAGCTGACTTGACAGAAGGCAGAAAGCTGGTGAGTTTCGTTCACTCAGTGACAAATGAGCACCAAGCAAAACCAGCTTTCCCGTGGTGAAATTCTTCTCGAATGTCATCCTGGTTGCGCATGGCAGAGAGAAGCCCGAGACACTGCTGAAGGGCCGATGCACAAGGGAGAAGACGTGTCTGTGGCACGTGTCTGCCTGAAACCTCAGAGCTGGTGGCTCCTCCCTGTGCTACGGTCACTGGCCCCCCATGTACTTCATTGCTTTGGACCGAGCCACTCCGCTCTTGGAACGCCACCTCCCTTTTGGCACAGGTAGCAAAATCCAGCCAAAGCCTTGGTTCAGATTTTCCTCCGTGCGCCCATCCATCCCCACCCTCCAGCCGAAAGCAATTTCTCTTACAATTCATTCGGTAAAAGCAGTGGGAGTTCTAACATTTTAAATTGTGCGTAAGAACCCCCCCAACGTGATGGATTAAAAGCCAGAGCCTTTGGCTCTGGGCTCCAGACGTTCTGATTCATCAGGAATAGAGAGGCCTGAGAATCTGCAATTTTCGCGGTCAGCTCTGATATTCCCGATGTACTGGGTCTGCAGAGGATACTCTGAAGAAGACGGGCATCGTGCTTTTAAAAGATTTCTTCTCTCCAAAAGAAGGGGCTGACGCACATGCTACAGAGCCTGTGTCCTCTGAAGGGCCTGTCTCAGTGCAAAAGGAGGACAGAGACCCTGTTTTCTTCATCGCCCTCTCTCCTACAGTATGCATCTAGCATAGTGATTCGCATACAGTAGGTGCTCAAACATGGTTTATTGGTCAGCTAAGAGTCTTTCTGGTCTCCTGATTTTCTCTTTACTCTTCCAAATGGTTTGAGGTCTGTAGGGGAGCCTGCCTCTCAGTCCTGTTTCCCATATACTTCCTCCCATGCTCCCTCCTGCTCCACGCTCCAGCCCGTACCCCACTCGACCTGCCCTTCTGTGGTCCTCCTTTAAGTTGATCTTTTAGTTATTTAACAAGATTTGGGCATGATTTTTTTATTCTTTATAAAAGATCCTATTTATTCTGATTTTTTAAATATCCATATTCACTGGGCATGTTTTAGAAAATAGAGTTGACCCTTGAACAACGTGGGTGGGAACTGTGGCCCCACTTACGAATTGTTTTTGATAAATACAGTACTGTAAATGTATCATGTCTTCCTTATGATTTTCTTCACATTTTCTCTTCTCCAGCTTACTTTATTGTACAAAGATAGTATGTAATACACAGAACATACAAAATACGTGTTAATAGACTCTGTTCTTGGTAAGGCTTCTGGTCTACAGTTACACTATTCGAAGTTAGGTTTGGGGGGAATCAAAAGTTATATGCAGATTTTCAACTGCATGGGGGTGGGCACCCCTAATCCCTGCATTGTTCAAGGATCAACTGTATAAGTATTAAGAAGAAAACTTACCTGTAATCCCCATTTCCTTTTTAATGCACATTTTCACAAAAGATCCATCTTTCTGGGGACTCTGTCAACAATCTTCTTTACCTTTGGACCCCTCACTCTTTTCTAAGAAAGCCAGGATGTTAGAGACTAAGAAGGGGAGGGGAGCCAGGCCGGCTCAATCAGGTACAACATGTGAGTCTTTATCTCAGGGTTGTAGGTTCAAGCCCCATGTTGGATGAGGGGATTATTTAAAAATAAAATTAAAAAATAAGAGGAAGAAGGAGGAGGAGAGGAGGATTTGAGGAGAGGAGAGAATCTAAAGGCTATTTTAAAAGACTGAAAGTTTTTCTATGACTTACCCCCCCTCACCGCCCATCAAACGTTAAACAAATATGAAACCAATAGGCCAACTTTGACCAAGCACACTGCATAGGGGACAGACATTTGGGCAACAGTATTTTAAAGAACTCAGTCTTTTCCTGGCTTTCAGAATCCACTTAGCACAACAGGTAGAGAGGGTGGTTACAGTATACGTAATAATGACAGCATAATAGCGAACATAGAACATATGTTTCTCTCTCTGTGTTGGGCATCGAGATAAATGCTTCTATGCATTAACTTATCTAACTTCACAATAGCCCTGTGAGGTAGGAATTTTTGCCACCATTTTACAACTGAGGAAATGAATCCCAGAGCAGTTAAGTAACTTGCCCAAGTTCACACAGCTAGTAAGTGCCAGAGTGGGAATTTGAACCTAATCAGGCTCCAGAGTCTATGTTCTTAACCACTAACTGCAAGTTAACTAGTGCCGCCCAACAGTTAGAGCATTTTAGTCATTTAAAGACCTTAAGTAACACTGGACTTGAACTTTTGTCCAAGACCCCAAATATTTCCAAGTGTTTTCTTGGGAAACAAGCCCACTGTTAAGCCTCAATCAGACCATTGTTCCACTCATAATTACTCTCATCCAGTTTTATCTGAAAAACTTGCATACAGCCTGGCTGAACAGCCACGCTTTAAGATATCTCTCTTATTCCAGGACTCGGTTGTTCTTCTGAATTCTTTTCTTCAACCAATTTATCGAGCAACTGCTATGTGCCAGGTATTATTCTGGGTTCCTAGCCCAGAAGATCAATGAGCTGTGTTGTTTACCCGCTAAGAGAGGACTTGGCCTCTACTGGACCCATGGTCATGGACAGACGAAGAGGTGGGGATGGGTGGCATATTCATACAAGAGAAAAAGTGCTAGGCCACAGGTGAGCTTAGCTCTCAAACTAGCACCCTATATACCTAACTATGGCATGTCTGAAGCATGAGAAACCCAAGTACCCGGGCAGAAGGACAGGCATTTTCGGGTTTGCTCCCAGTGGGAAGAGCCACAGGCATAACCATGACCACAGCCGATTACCCGCTCTGCACCAGTGTCTCCTGGCCCTCGGAGCTGGGTGCGGACGGGCCCTGGCTCCCTGTGTCGATTTGCAAAGCCATCCCCTCTTCCTAGCATCATCTTCTTCCAGCTTCCCTGTCTTCTACGGTGAATAAATACCTTCTCTAAGTTGCCTCAGTATTAAATACTTCATGTGCTGTCACTGAAACAGCCAGCCAGTGCAGCCAGTGAACAAAGTGAAGATGTCTGCCCACATGGAACTCACATTCCAATGGGGGAGGCCGGCCGTAAATGAGAAAGATAGGAGGTAAAGAAATACGAGGTAAAAAATAAATGATATAGTACGTTGAAAGGTGACAAGTGCTAAGTGGAAAACAGGTAGGGCAGGGTAATGGGGATCAAAGGTGCTGAGGGGGGAGGGGGAAGGGTACCACCATCCATAGAGGGGTCAGGGCTGGCCTCCCTGAGAGGGTGGTATTTGAGCAGAAATTTGAAGGAGTTTGATCTGAGGCTCTCTGCAGAAGAGCAGGCTCAGCAGAGGGAAGGGCTCAGAGAGAAGCCCGAAGGCAAGAAGCTGGCTGCTGAGTTGAGGAAAGAGTGAGGAGGTGAGTGGGATAGAACACACTGAGCAAGGGGGAGAATGGGGACAGAGGAGGAGAGAGGTAACGGGCACCAGCCATGCTAGCTCATGAAACACAGAGCCATTGCTGGGTTTTGAACAGAGACATGAAACAGGTTTTAACAGGGTTTCTCTGGCTGCTTTCCTGAGAATTGACCGTAGGAGGCTGAGGAGAGAAGCAGGGAGACCAGTTAGACGCTGCTGTAGTAATTCAGGCATGGGAAGATGATGGCTCAAAGCAGGCTAAGAGGAGATGTGATCAGAGTCTGGATACTTTCTGAAGGGAGAGGATACTGGTCAGAGGGGTACTTGTGCTTCAGTCACAAGAGACCCCCCCAAACCCGCAGCTTACAACACTTCATGGCCGGTGCGAGGTGTGAGATGGCCGTGGCTCTGCTCCTTGGGAACTGGCTCTGAGTTCAGGTCCAGGCTGGCCAAGCAACCTCTGTCTGGAACATTGTGGACTATTGTAGAGAGGAGAAAAGTCACCCAGGAGAGTGAAAGAGTAAATGGAGGAGAAAAGTATGGCATTAAAGGCTCATTTGAGGTTTATGGTCAATTCAATTAATGGTGGTGCGTATTCACCTGCCACAATCTACTGCAAGGTGCAGGGCAGCCTTGGATTGATCCAGGGCTGTGGT